TTCTTACTAATTAAAGATACTTGCGCCCCGGTGTCAACTAATGATCGGAAATTTCGTTTTTCTATTTTAATCAAACTTGAACAACCTGATATCTACACTTCCCTTCAACCCCCGGAAAGAGTTTCATAGTTTTCCCGTTGACGCGGTTTCGTTTTAAACTTCGGATTTGATTTAAGATAGTCCTCAAATTTCCCTCAGTCGCGTTGAAAATGCCCTTCTATGCCACCAAATCAACAAGGCATATTTCGCCGACACTCGCTTTTGTCGACACTCAACGACTGACGTGACCTCGACGATAACAAATCCCGCATGTGCGGGGTCTTACATAACTGGCATCTATCGGCTTATGTTCGCTACTATTTGTATATGTTCGAGCTAGTTACTTTAGTAATGAAGTCTTAGAGACCCCTAATGCTCTCTCTTCGTTACTGGCGCCTGACCGGGGTCTTACATAACTGGCATCTAACGGCTTATGTTCGCTACTATTTGTATATGTTCTAGCTAGTTACTTTAGTAATGAAGTCTTAGAGACCCCTAATGCTCTCTCTTCGTTACTGGCGCCTGACAAGGACAGCTATCTAGTCGTTCGGATGGGACGAAAGACCGACGTCCCGTGTACACATTGACAGTTGGAATTCGATATAAGAGTAGGCCGTAGTGCCACGGTCCGGCCAAATTTCCCTGTATGGCGGATGCCAGTCTTCATTAGCCCAATTCGGAGCAGAACAGTAGCACGTAAAACCCCATTTCATTTCATTTAAATATAGTTTCCGGTAAATCATCAAATCGGCTGTGTTAGAATGAACTTTTAATGTCAAGATGTGGAAAATGTTCCAAGGATCATCAATATGTAAATCATGCGACGAACCGATGCATTTCATTCAAACAAATCCAGCCAATCAGGTGCCGTTTTCCTGTAAAATCTATATTTGCTCAGTGGACAACTAAGATGAGGAATTTCATTGTAGGATAATATACGTAATGGGTAGAACACGACACTGGCTTCCAGGAACATGCTGCAAGCTTAAACATAGCAGAATTGGATTCGGAAACCTTTTCAGTAATGTTTTTAGAAAAAGTACTGCCACAAACGGCGGCCATTTTGGAAATATTCTGATTGGGTGATTCATTTCACACACTTGACACAAAACACGAATACTTTATCAAAACCAGACATCGTCCCATTTTCTCGTCACAAATGGTAGCCTTATTAGAAATATTCTAAATATGTGAACGTGATCATTTTACACAATTGTAAACGGCATAAATGGAATCTGCGCCCCGAAAACATATATCCGGATACCATAAACGACTACTTAATCAATATCAGCACATCATCCCATTTTCCCGCCATCTTGGAAATATGCAGAATATGTGATCATTTTACAAAATTGTAAACGGCAGAAATGGAATCTGCGCCCCGAAAACATATATCCTGATACCATAGACTACTTAATCAATAGCAGCACACAATACAAATTTATATTTCGTTTCGTTTTTTATACTTTCGATGGCCTACACTACATGAAAATCTGACCATCTGTTTTGGCGGGCCACGTCAGAGGTCATATGAGCGGCTTTTGACCCTATGACGTCAGATATTTGATTAACCAATCAGCATTGATGTTTCTAGTGGATTAACCACAGTTCCATGCAGCTCACACCAAAAGCTTGCCGTAGCAGACCGTTTCATTGGCTAATCCCTCACAATATCCAGAATACGTCAATGATAACAAGCCTTCCAGATCCTAGTGTAGTAAAGACAAGTAGAACGAAATTTTGAACTAAAAAAACCAAACGAAATATGATTTGTGTTTTAATCAGATTGAACATTTTCCGGCCAAAAATTGCCACCATCTTGGAAATATGCAAAATAGCTGAACTTGTGATCATTTTACACAGTTTTAACTGGCAGAAATGGAATCTGTGCCCCTGAAAACATTTAATTTTGACACCAAAGACGATTACCTAATCCATATCAGCACAGCACCCCATTTTCCCGCCATCTTGGAAATATGCAAAAGAGGTGAACATGTGATCATTTTACACAATTTTGACACCAAACACTACTACTTAATCAAAATCAGCCGCTCATCGTCCGATTTCCCAGCCAAAAATGGTCGCCATCTTGGAAATATCTTCATGATGTGATTGAAAAAAAAATCTGAAATATATATAGTCACGACCCTTGCCAATATGAATACATTGCCAAATCATAGTTGATATGTCGATAACATTATAAATAAGATGAAAATAAAAAAAAAATAATTAGGAATACTATCGCAATATGGCTACCCTCAAATAGTAGCCTCCCATACTATAATAAAGACCTACTCGGAAAAAAATGTCAACATTGGTTTTTTGCCATTTAACACCAAAAGCTGATTCCACGATTTCTACCCGAAAAGCCGACGATTGGGATTTATGTAACAACCCGACTATTTGTTTCTTAAATGCTTTTTTTTCTGTGACATATGTCCGAAATTGATGCATCGATCTTGACCCAGCTTGCGTTATCTATATAATCTATATATGATCTAGTTGGCATTGTCAAGGTCAAATAATGTGCACTTTTCTTTTCAAGATACCTGTCTCTCCAAATGTGTCTACTACTTCAGTTTTGATAATATAGCCATCAAACTTTGAAGTTATCTTCTATCGAAGGGAATGAACAATCTGTTATGAACAATCTCCTATTCAATTTATTCCAACCAAACTTCACAAGAATATAATAAGACGATTTGTTCTACAACTTCGGATGTTTTTTCCCCGCGGAAGATCGCAGCTGCGTCATTTAAGCGTGGGTGTTTATATATAGTTAATGTTTATTAGAATTGATATAGCGCTCGCTCATTATTACATCTTGATGCATTGAATGACGCATCATATACACATAATATGAAGTTATTACAGAATGTTCTTTGAAGAAAAGTTCTCGCGGTAAACTACACTAAAAGGTATGTCAGCAACAGATTTATGTTTTGTTCTGTGAACCGCAGACCGCAGAGGTACCTTCGAGCAATACAGTTCAACCACTTAAACAATAGAGTTTTCTATTCAGCACGAACATATTATATTGGAAGAAAATGTACTAGCTACAGAACATAAAATGAACTGGAGAATTTTGATTTTGTACCTAGTTTGTTATGAGTGGACGTAACTGGTGTCAATTCAACCCCACACGACAAGTGATATATGACAAAATACCTCCTTATAATATTACCCTTTCCATAATAATAGGAGACATGTCTATATTTATAATGTAAATAAAAGATAAATATGTGTATCCTCTACAATTTTGTCGGGTGCTGGGTGCTGACCTAGTCCAAAATTCGACTTTTTTTAACAGCTATGTTGAAGATTGCTAATAAATTCAATTTTTTAACACGTCAGCCGGACAGTATAACAATTGCTTCAATAGCTAGCTTTTTTTTATAGTTTTCTAGTCAAATACAAACATTGTTTGGTAAATCGAAAAATATTCAGTGCAAACCATGTGTTTCGTATAATCTTCCAATTAGTTACATAGTAAGAGTAGCTGTGTTGAACAAGAATATAGTTTAGTTTCGAACGGCCATTGAATAAGGATACAAGTTAGGCCTACCAGATTGGAAATTATAAAAAGGTCTCTAGACATATGGAGTGTAATATAGTATGTACTGCGCAGATTTATATGTGAATGTAGGGTTTAAAAACTGGCGGGTTCGTTTTGGCAATTGCCAAGTGTGTGTTTTTCATCAAGATTGATGGCTTAATTAAAATTCAGAAATGTACGTTCTGATTTACTGGAACGAAATATAAATTTATAATATAACAAATTCTACTGTCTGATGTCGGCGTATGTGAGCCACCTTTCTTTAAAGATACGTTAGTTAAGAGTTTAATGAAGAGTTGGTCATTCTTGCTATAATAATTCAAAAATAGACGATGAAAAAAGATAATATTGAAAATTTCATTCAAATTACTTCATCTCAGCCAAGTTATTCCATTTTGTTTTGTCGGTCAAATACATAGATAGGGAGGTTCATAGATATCATATGGATGGGGATCCCTATCGACTTTTTCATGAGATACGGCACCCACCGAAAGTAGCGAAATTATAAAAATGTCCAAGATGGAATAGGTGAAATATACTGCGTTTTATTAGTTTGATCTAATTAAAATGTACAATAATCTGTTATCTATGTGATTTCCGCATATCAGATGTGAAATCAAGTATTCAATAAATAGTAAGCATACTCTAGAAAAAAAAATATCAGTACCTTTATTATTTTAATATTGAGATAAGAATGATTGATTATTAATTCGATTGTATAAAACTTAAAGTATTTACTGTTTAGACTTGACAGTGCCATCATATACCACGGAGAAATATTGAATGAGAAATGTTGAGAATTTCTTTCTGTAATCATATCACATGGCCCCATGGCATATCTATAATTTACCGAAAGTGAATTAATTGGGCTTATCGTGTTGAAATCAAGAATACGATCCAAAAACTAGGGCATCTGATTGACCGAAAACTCCGATTGAATGATAGTCGCTGTTGGTGGTATAGGTTGTGTCTGGAGATAAATGAGATTTTTTTTACTTAATTCGTTTATTCCGGATATTAATTTCCTATATATGTATGAATGCGCCCTTGTTGTACATAAAAGATAGCTGAAAAGAAAAGAATGGATGATGAACGTAAATGAACTGATGAACCTTTTTGAGTGTAATATACAGCAGACATATGTTGAACAAATATTTGTGTTGTGAATCGTATCGGTCCATTTAACTTTACATATTTACGAAAGTTGTGAAAAAAATAGTTTATGCTTACTCATCCTATAACAGATTATCCTGGATTTATTTTATAGTGGTATACAAGTAAATTACATCAACTTATTCATATTAATAATCGTGTTGAAAGTTAAAACTCTTAATACATTTGAATGGCAGCTATGAGTCAGGCATGCGGGTGATGATGATTTTTATTCTTGACACCTCATCTACATCCAATCGATTTTCGTAGCCTCCGTTGCTGTTTATCAGAGTTTACGGATCGTAACGAATGTATATGATTATTATTTATCTTTACACTAATGAGAAGTAATAACATGTCGTTGCAGCTACAATTCACAATATCCTAACTGTGGGCGACACTTTACGGAACTTCATTCATTGATTACTCGGCTGTCCCCGATATTGCATTAGATTTACTGGCTCGTTTCTTGCTTCAGTACTGATTTACCAATTGAAATAATATCCTGAACCATTTTGTCTATTGTAAGCTTACCGGTTATTGTATGTGACGGAATTTACATGGGTGATACATAAAAATTGTGAGTGAAAATCCATCGGATGTGAAATATAAACCAAGCGCATTATCTGTGATAATTTAGAGACTTTGAAAGGTAAAATCATTAGACATATATTGAGTAACAGATTGACCTATTATATAAAGAAAGTGAATAGGAAGATTTGGATTCAAGTGGAAACGATGGATGGAACACGCAATACAAGTGGCTACGATTATTATAACGATGAGTACTACACAACGAATGATTCTTATGACTATGGTCTCATGGCCCCAATAAAACAACCAGATTACTTAATTGTTATTTATTCTTTAGCATATTCGATTATTTTTCTCACTGCTCTAATAGGTAATGGGTTGTTGGTCATCCTGACTCTTAAACGCCGATTTGTGAGCAAGATAAACTATTTTTTGGTGAATTTGGCACTCTCTGGACTGTTGGTGGCCGTTGTATGTATACCAATTACACTATTGAGTAACTTATATAATGGTAAGACATTGTTTATTATTTTGAGAATTTACCTGCATTATTGAGAAATGCGTAACTTTCCTTTTCAGTTCAGCTGTTTCACAGAAAATGAACGTTTTACATGGGAGCCCTATGGCCACGCGTAAAATTGTTTATGATGATAGTGATCTATGTTAAATTCCGAAGAAACACTATTCAGTGATGTAGTCTCAACGTATTTATTTATTATACGTTTGTTCGTCCATTATATAGCATTATTGTCAGTGAGTGTTTCTTGAGTATCAGATTTTGCTCTGAAAAACGAATTCTTAATTTCCGCAGTCGGGATTCTTCGTTTTTTTTACGTATGTACAATTAACGATTGAATTTAACATTTGTACACATGCGCAAGCCCGAAAGAGAGAGAGAGGGATTGTCTGTATTTATCAGTTACCTTTTAGGCTGATTTTTTTAACGGTTACATGCAATAGTTAAATCTTTGTAATAAGGGGGAATTTCGTGGTTTACCAACGCAGTATGTAGAGAGTGCTTGCCGTACTCCTATTGTAGATGTTAAATATTCTCTATGATAATCCTATTTTGTTTCAAATAATTATCACAGATAAATATAAAAAATGTACACATCAAAAACAGAGCACAGGACACACGCAAAAAAAAAAGCCTGAAGCATTTTCAAATCGGTTCGACATCAGTGGAATAAATGTATATCAATGCACCCGGAATCTACTTAGAAGTCCTACCACATTGCGCTCTAAACTGTCTGATAAATTTAAACCGTAAATCAATTGAACCCATTTCAAGGTGGAATTGCATGCTTTTTTATATGGTTGGGTTTTTTGAGGCGTCAGATACGTGACAATTCGCCTCGAAAAGTTCTTTGATCTGTTATATCATAGGAAAATTCTGTTATTGAAAATAACCTGCATAAAATGGCTACATAATAAGTTGAAATTTCTACATTAAGGGTCTTTTAGTGAAATATTAGAGTAATTTAAGTTTAAATACATCCTTTGTGTTTGAATTACCACTTAATGGTTGATTGTGTCGCATTATGTATCAATCTGGAAATTTCTATTTTATAGCTATTGTTCTTGAAAGTATGAAATGGGGTTTAACGTCCTACTCTTCTGCTCCTAAACTGGACTAATGAAGACGGGCATACGCTATACAGTGTACTATGAGGGAAATTTTTCCCGGGCAGCGGCGCTACGGCCTACTCTTATATCGAATTCCAACTGCCAAGGGATCTTTTACGTGCACGCCAATATGTACACGGGACCACGGTTTTTTGTCCCATCCGAACGACTAGACAACTGTCCTTGTCAGGCGCTCCGTCCTGCATCACTGACAAGGGGAAACCACGCCGGAAAATCTGGATGAACTTTCTTGGCCAATGAAGGGATCGAACACCCGACCTTCAGGCTAGCGAGCCAGCGTCTTACCCACTTAGCCACGTGATCCCCCTTTAAAGTAAGACACTCAATTTACGCATCGTGTCACGTTTTCATATTTTTAATAATAATGAAACAGTCAATGCGCGTCTTTTTAGTTATATTTCGGTTCTAGAAAAATGAATTGTTGCTGAATTTATAATAACTTAAGCGTTTTGTAACCATTATGTTAGAAATTGTAAATACACTTTTTACTCGAAAGCATAAGCTATAGCCCTTTTGTACACCACGTCCTATTAAATTTGACCCAAAACCGGAGGCCAAATTCGCAGCGCCCTAAAATGATTAGAATTCGATTCGTGTGACCAGTACCGTAATTTTAGTTTCATCACACACGTCTGGTCAACCGAGACTAAGGAAAATACATTTCGTTCAATTAATTTTTAGTCTCAATTTTTTTCTGCTTATTTAGAGCTAGCAACAATGTAACTTCTAAACTCACCAACGCGGCAACTAACAACAGGGTTTTACGGTTAAATAAAAGTAACTTTCACAGTCTTGCAAAGTGGGTACGTTGCCGCGAGAGTGAGTTTAAAAGATAGAAAAAGGACGAAACTACACGAGTTGACTCTGAACCGACAACCGTAACAATATATATATGTCATTGGTTACAATCAACAAACTTAGAAATTAAATCGCTGAGTTTTAGCCAAATTGGTTGTAAGCATTGGGGTTATGAAAGAATGGACTCTATATCGATTTTCAGCGTTCAGCGACTGTCGGTTCCGGAGTTGCCGACCTTTGCCAAAAACCTTGTTAACGCGATATAGGCCACAAGAGGATGAACCCTATCGATTTTCAGCTTTGTCATTGTGGAGTTACCTCCCCCCCCCCCATGCCAAAAATCTTGTGAGTGAACGCGATAGAAGCTACATATTTTAACAGATGGGCTTGTGAACGCACTAGAAGCCACAGTGTTTTCGATGGATTTTGTTTTATTTCAAACAGCTGTAAAGCATTGCAGTAATGAGAGGACGGACCCACTCGATATTCAGCATTCTTCGATATTCCCTTCCAGGATAGCCCCCCCCCCCCCGTGCTTTCGGTAACCTCGTGATTGCAATAGAGGCTATAGTTTTGAACCAAGATTAATTTCAAATTTAGAATCCTTGCCATTAGCGGACGAACCCTGTACATTTTCAGCATTCTGTGACTTTCAGTTCCAGAGTTCTCGCCCTTTGCTGAAATATCAAATTCGGTCAACATCTATATGTTGAGAGGTGAGGATGGACCCTATCAATACTCAAGTGTTCCGTGACCTTTCATTCAGGCCCCCCACCCCTTACTTACCCTGTGTTAGCATGTTTAAAGTAGCTAAGTCTCTAACTCAATATCGTGCAAAGTCTTCGACATTCAAAATACAAATTATTTGTTAATTTAAATCAACATTAATGTTGTGATCCAACCGGAAAAAGATGGGCTTCCGATATCCAATATTTAAGACAAAATAAACAGTTTACCATTGGTACACGAATTGTGTACCATAATTCGTTTCAGCGCCAAGGGACTCAAAAAACGAGCTAGACATTCCACAAGTCATGTCAAACGGTGACGTTATATTCTTATCTGGAGAGCAGATCGGTGTAACCAGACGCTAGAGACTGCCATTCGATTGAGACTTCTGAACATATATGATTTGAAATTAGAGTAAAAACGGAAACGATTGAATTTAAATCAATTTATATATACATTCATATTACATTATTATATGCGTTGCGACCCATTTGTGTCAATTTCTAGGTCCCAAATATTACTGATTTCGCTCCTTTAACAGACGGGTTTTTTTTTCAAATTTTGGGTGACGAATTGAGATTGAGAAAATTAACCCTATTGAAGTTTTTCTTTCTTGTAAGCTGCTGTTGTATGCACGTATTGTGACATTGTTTTTTTTTTTAGCTGTATGGGAAAATTAACCCTATTGAAGTTTTTCTTTCGTGTAAGCTGCTGTTGTATGCACGTATTGTGACATTGTGTTTTTTTTAGCTGTATGGGAAAAAATCTGTTAGGCCCCTTGATTAGAACTCTCACGATTCCACAATTATCATTACGCAAGTTTAATCTTTTTAAGACGTGTGTAGGATTGTCAATACCAAGACTCATTTGGACTTTTTCTACCACTGAAAGAATAATACACCGTGATTAGAAAAATATGTTAATACCCCAGGGGTCATATTTACCATTGCATCATTTGAATTTTCTTTGACACGTTATTTGGTTTGAATTGAAATTTCAATAGGGATAGTTTTTAGAGTACATTACTCTGCGCACGTTTGACATGGGAATAGCATTTGCGCATTGAATAATATTATATTTCAATATCATTAAAAGACTAAATGATTATTCTATAGGTTGATAACGCTTGATTACACTTCTATCACTAAACGTTTCTTTTCATGTTTCATATTGCATTATAATGTAAAACAAACAGATAATAGTTTCCAGTAACTACTCAAAGAACCGTTATATTTTAAAACATTGTTCGATTTCCATTATCATCATTTATATCAATATCTCTATTGACTCTCTTTAAAGGGATATATTCTCTTCTATTTTATTGTTTAATTTGATTTTACTTGTTCTACCAAATGAATTTTGAAATTCGAAAGAAGCCAGGGATCAATAGTTCCCAAGAGAATTTAATATATATATTATACACCATTCGAAAGCGTAGCGCTATTGAACCGGATAACAAAAACTTCACAATACTTTGAAGCACACCTTTTTATAAAAACAGTTATGCGTTTTAAATTCAGTCTTTTCTTTTGTTAATTTAAATGTTGATTCTAAATAGGACAGTGTCGGATCGTAGTCTATTACGATATTCTGAAAGTTAATGGTTTAAATATTTAAGAGAGCGTGACTTTATTCTTTAGAACCTTAATGGGTCTAAAAGTACTTATTAAAGGAGCTAAATCGCTAATATTTGGCACCTAGGCACCTAGAAATTGGCACAAATGGGTCGCAGCGCATCTAATAATGTAATATGAATGTATATGAACGGATTTACATTCAATTGTTTCAGATCAGTTATGTTCGGCGAAATACGCCAGAAGTCTCAATCGAATCGCAATTCTATAATCTGGTTATTGCAATCTACACTGATAGTATTTATCTGCTCTCCAGATAAGAATATGACGTTACCGTTTGACATGACTTCTGGAATATGTCTAGCCTCGTTTTTCGAGTTTCTTATTACAAATGGCACTGAAACGCATTATGGTACAATTTTTATTTTGTCCTAAATATTGGATATCAGAAGCCGATCTTTTCCCGGTAAGATCACAACATCAACGTTGATTTAAGTTGACAAATAATTCGTGTTTTCAATGTCGAAGACTTTGGGTGATATTGAGCTAGGACTTGGCTACTTTAATGTAACATGAATACGGTGGCTAGGTGGTTAAGACGCTGGCTCACTAGCCTGCAGGTCGGGTGTTCGATCCCTGCATTGGCCGAGAAAGTTCATCGGGATTTTCCGACGTGGTTTCCCCTTGTCAGTGGTGCAGAACCGGGGGCCTGACAAGGACAGCTGTCTAGTCCTTCAGATGAGACGAAATGCACCTAAAAGAT